ATATACTCTCGCGTGATAGGTCTACAAGCAAGTTCCAGAGATGTTGAATTTCATGATGTTTATGACATGCGAGCTGTCGCCAGTTCCTACAGCTCTGTTTGATGAGTCTGGAGATATGGGTATCTCGAAGTCCAAGGCCACTTTGAAGAACCAGAGACAAAGGTTGAAGTATCAGCTAGACACGAGACACTTGAATAAACGTGTAGAGTGATCGATGGCTGTGCTCTCCTTTGGATTCCCAATTGGCCTTCATCACCGCCAACACAACAAACAACAGTGATGGACTTTGTATCGAAATTCAAAGGCAAGATTGAAGAGAGACTAAAATCCGGTGATGTGTATTTGGTCTTTGACAGGTACAATGATTACAGCACCAAGTGTGCAACCAGGATATCGAGAGGCGATGATGGTTGCAGAGTTTTCCAACCGAGCCCAACTTCACCCCTTCCGTCTCAGAAACTGACTCCGACAGTCACAGAGAACAAAACACAGTTGATTAACATCATTTGTCAACATCTGCAAGGCGATGCATGTTTCATCATAAAACACAAGCTTGTAATCACCAGCCAAGATGGCACTCCAAGATTGACAATCCAACGGCACGATATGGCCACATCTCATGAGGAGGCTGATGTGATTATTGTCCAGCAGGCTATCATGATTGCAGATGAAGGACGATCCATCAGGGTGCCTGCAGACGACACAGATGTTTATGTTCTTCTGCTTCATTTCTACCAAAAGCAAGGCCTTCAGTCACCCTTGATAATGGAGTCGCCCATCATAGACAGATCTGTAATCGATATACATGCCACAGTGGACAGACACAGAGACATCATCCCTTCTATGCTGGCAGGTCACCCATTGACAGGTTGTGATACTGTTGGTGCACATTTTGGAGTTGGCAGAGGAACTTTGCTAAAAGTGCTGCGGCAGAAAAATGGGTTCCCATTGCCATCGATTGAAGACATACATGCAGATATGGCCGACGTGATGATGCTATGGACAACCCAATGCTACGACACTGTCAAAAGCCCGACTGAATGTGTGGACTAGACGGGTCGGGGAAGCAGGAGCTGCCAACACTCCAAATCTTGCTGCAATGCCACCAACAACTGAAGCTTTCAAAGATAATGTTAAGTGTGCCCATCTTCAAACATGGATTTGGAAGAGTGTTTTGGAAATGAATCCATCAACATTGGATCCCACTGCATTTGGTACATGAAAGACAAAGCAACAAAGTCACTCATCCCGGTAACCACTCCACCAAATGTGAAACTTGCACCTGCAAACATACTGAGACTTATACGTTGCAATTTTGCAAGCTAGTGACTACCCATGCAAATCATAAGGATGTGGATGCAACAAAGCCAAATTAGCGTGCACAAATGCGTGTCATGCATCCGTGATGTCTAAATGTATTTTGGTGGCCATTTTGTATTTTCCCATTATCTAAATTAGTCATTATTGACAAATGAGTATGACATAAGTATTTGATACACTTAGGTTTTCTAGGAATTGAAAACATAAGATAAAAAGAAATGAGTATAATACTATTTTACTGTGAATCTAAGCTTAACAGCTGGCATTTATCCGCCATTTTGAATATGCAAATTAGCAACAATTACAATGGAAAATATGCTAATTATGTCATCTATGGTCATCTATGTTCATGTATGGTCATCAGGAATATATTGACAATGGTCTTTGTGAATTATAAGCACACCATTCTGCCAATATTTTGTAATGTATTATGAAATAATTCAAATTTTCCTGAAAATAGGCTATTTTGGCGGCCATTTTGTTTTTGGCCATATCTTAAATTGCTCAACACTGACAAAGCTCCAGTTTTCTGTTTGGTCATCTGCAATACCTAAGGAAACAGAATCCATCAAGAAAAAAACTTATTTCAACAAAACGAGGTGTAGCTCAGTGGCTGCCGGACTATCTCCTCAGGAGGAAAGTAAGAAGTTTATATGTTAACAAACTTTGTACTTCAAAGACTTATGACTCACACATATTCTGAGTAGAAGCTATCAATTTGGCCAAAACATGACATTCCACAGCTATGAGAGAGTTAATGATGTACGGTCACTTGGTCAAAGGTTAGTAACTCGACCCCCCCCCCCCCCTTCCAGAACACTTGTAATAACTTTGCCAAACAAACCCCAAATTGTAAACATCGGATAAGAACCCCAAACTCCCAAAACAAAAGACTTCCTGTCTCCCTCCCAATAACAAGACCCTTTCCCAGAACAGGTTATGTGTGGTAGCTAGATCACTGTGAGAGTGTAGGTGTTATAAAAGAAGGCAGAGGTATTTGACAGATTCACTCCTGTACTGCACCCCATCCATGGGGCAGGCAGGGAGGTCGACTCTGCAAGCTTTTGGTGTAACATGTCATTATATAGGTAAGAAGATTATTCTTTTGTTAAGTTGGATAATTATTGAGCTAATTAGTACTTTTGTAGATGTATTCTGATGTAAGTTAATAACCTTGGTATCGTTTTTAACGACATAGTTTGTGTTGAATTAATATGCATTATGTAAGGTGTGGCATATTATTTGTTTGATCATTAGTATAGGTTGATTTCGTTAGTGAGTTAAGCACTAGATTAGGATTTGGTAATAGTAATTTGAGATGATTTGAATATTACTATGTTATCTGTTATATTACTTGTAATCTTTAGGAGTTTTAGTCATATAATGTGTTGTTGAGGTTAACTCTGGATAATCGTATTTTGCAAGACAGTTGTAATTTAAAGTAATGTTTTAAGAGTTAACAGTTAACGGATATAATCTGAACCTTCTTCAGTTTGGTGTTTTAGAGTCAAATTACCAATGATTTGTATTGATTATTATTCCTTCAGGTGTTGACAAATTACAATCAACATGTAAGAAGCGGGAACGAGAGGAAACGGTCCTCTAGGCCAGATTGCCAGGGTGAGTGGGTTATCATATTCAATGTATAAACCACTAATTCAATGTAGTTTTAATTGGGAATTAAGTTTGATTGTTTGACAAAGTTTACTTGATGGTTGTATTCATTTATTTGTTGGGAAAGTTATCCATAAAGATGGAAGAACTGTATTGATTAGATACTTGTTATTTTCATGCGATATTGATTAAGTTTTAATGAATGTAATATAAACAACATGTTTATCATTTATTATCATGAGTCGGCTTGACGTCATATTGTTGGAATGCGTATCTTAGAGTCATTAACAAATATTACGTTTATCACTATTAGGTGTGTTTTTCAAACATGTCCACATTTCTATTTAATTGTTTTAACTTTGTTTATTTGTTCAGGCTTTGGCTATAGCTTACTTTAGCTTTGGCTTTAGCTTACTTTAGCTTAATTTATCTTGCACCTGAAATAAAACGAACCGCAACACAAGGAATGGTGTGATCGAGTCTTTTCTACCAGTTTCCGCGTGTGATCGGCGATGTTACACTAGGTTTATGTGCGTCCGATATTATGCGTTTCGACGCAAATAATGCAAAAATTAATTTTCTCTATGACAGACACAATCTTCACGGATTTAATTTGTATACTTAGGATACATCTTGGAAATTACAAACAGACAGAGAGACAAAGAGAGTATGACAAAAGGACATGGATAGAGATTGAATGGAGCTTCCCTTTCCCCTTGTCCGTTTAATATTAAAAAACCTATGCATGTTATATAATGAAGTATATCATTCACTTTAATGCTTCACCCCCCCCCCCCTCTCAAATAAATAAATGAAAATGGATCGACGCTCATATCATTATTACCGTATCATTTTGTTTGTGTATTATCATTACTTTCGGATCAAAGTAATAATGATGATCGTTGTCATTTTTATCAAAACTTTCAAATAACAAAATCACATCCGAGACGGAGAGAAAGCGAAACAAATGCCGGGGAAGTCTGTTTGGTTGACTTGTTAGCTATCCAGTGGCGAATCCAGGGGCGGGGGCGCCCCCCCCCCCCCTAGGAGAAAAAAACACGTGTAAAAACACGTTAATTTTGCCCTTTTCTCACGATTTGGGCCCCCTCCCCTGCCGCCGGCTGGATCCGCCCCTGAAGCTGTCAATGCGATTTCTTGAGATATGCTATTGTACATATGCTAGGTCAAATACGTGTGCAATACCTTACTTACTACCCCATATACGTTATGATTTTTTAATTAAGGAGGAATGATGAGCTTCGAAAATCATTGAACTAGCCTTTATCCGGCTTCAATAGCCGAGTTTAACAAGCCTCTTAATAAAAAAAATCTTGCTCAAAGCTACTTATCCTTTATAATATGAAAGAGTGGAAATCTTTCATACAATGATATACGGGCGATGTAGCAAATAATAATTTTACCGGTTGCCCGGTAAAAGGTCGCGTAGCGTTGGCGCTGGTAAAAAAAGGGGGAACCGATAAAAACGCTTTTGAAGTGTTAACACCTACTTCAAGTGCTAAAAATGACAATGTTTCTATGTTCCATGTAGCCAAAACTATTCTTAGAGAAAGATATTTACCTGATTTATTATGCTCGCAAATTAATTTGCAAATATGTCTTTCTTTTGCTACACTATACGTTTTGCTGGAAACAAAAAAGCCCGCACGCGCAATTTAACTTCCCGGCAAAAGGTAGTGTAGCGCTACGCGACGTTTTGCCGGGCAACCGACGATTTTCAGGTTTTAAAGCGAGGCAATTGTTTTTTCACTTAACAATATTTGTTAAAAATATGTCTGAGCGGAGGTGGGGGGGGGGGGCATTTTGCCCCCTTTGGCACCTTTCAAAAATGCTAGCGGGGCAGGCAACAGAACTGGTTATTGAAAGATAATTGTTTAGAGCCCCACCGCCACCGCTACAGGTATATTTTAGGACAGATTTTTCAAGCACAATCTTTTGAACTTTCCCTTCACTGTAATGTAGAATAATCTTTCAAAAGAGTTGTATGATACAACTATTGTTGCCATGATAATGTCACCTTACTTTTTTTAATGCAGATTAATGGTTTCTTTGCCAATCTGTGCACTTTTGGCAACTTTTCGACGGTGTTATTCATCTCAGTCGACCGGTATTTGGCGGTTGTTTGGTCCACTCGATTCCCGTCTACCCGTACGAGAGTCTCCATTATGATAGCTATCGCCTGGATATTATCGCTGCTTGTTGGTGGAGCACCCTTGACTGGTGAGATTCTTTTACTTCATTTCGTCAAGATTTTGAAGATTCTTTTTTCTTTAATTCAATTAGAGTGAGCCCGATTTATCGAATCAAATTGACGGCTAGATGGATGTTATTATTTTGATCACTTATTCGTGTTTCGTAATAGGCCTACCAAATAATATACATCAAGCTAAAATGAAGTAAGAAGAGGGAGAGCTTGGGGGGGGGGGCAGTGAAGCAATATGATCTGGAGAAGAGATCGAGACAGGGACAGACGGGGAGTTCTAATGTAATAATTTGTTTTGTTTTTTTAAAGAGAGGAAAAAAGACTAGAAAGGACCAATTACGAAGATAAGAGATTGAGACAAACAAAGAGATGACACATCATAGGCTATACACTGATCAAAGTTTGTAGTCTAGTGATAGAGAGAAATAGAGACGAATTAAAAGAGAGTGCGAAAGAAAAAGGGAGGGAGAAAGAAGGGAGAGAAAACTTAAAAAGAAAGAGAGGGTGAAAAAGAAAAAAGGAGGGAGAGAGAATAGATTGAGGGCTTGGGGAAAAATGCTGTTGAAAAGATGAGAGTAAAAATTATTTACAGTAGTGACAGTTTAACTTCGTGTGAAAAGTTATGATTATACATGTATGATGTTTTCTCTTTTTTGCCATCATGGTTACCGCAGAGCGTCTTTCGTACTTCCACTACAGCAGCTCGACCCATCACTGCTCGCCATCATGGATGAACTGTTTCTTCTACATCTTCAACCTCACATTTATCTACGGATTGGCAGTCCCCACCATGTTGATCTCACATGTTTCCATCATCTACACACTGAGGGTTAAGGAGAAGAAGCTGAGATCGTATGGACTCAGCAAGTCGGGGAAAGCTCAAGCAAGCCGTTCTGAAGACCGCATCCCCACTATCACCGGCTCAGCGACAATGGGACCTGGCATGTCCATGGAAGGCAAGTGGTGTTGAATTTTATATTTCACAATTCGCGGGATGAATTCTTTCAGGGTGGCTAAATGCCCCCTGTCCATGCCCCCTACCAAACCTCGCCGCCATGACTGACCCTCCATATTGATGATGAAGTTCTATTACCACTTTTGTCCTGGGCATATCGATGAGCTGTGCAGATGTTCTAAGTAAACTCAATAGTAGACAAGAGAAAGGAATTCACGGGTAAAGATTTGCTGGTAGAAATTTGAGCTGAGCCATCAATCCTTGTTCTCTGATTGTTGATATGGAGCATCTGCACAGCTCATCATCTATAAAACCTAACAAACCTTAATTAGGTCCACATACAACAAAATGTTTTCCCTTATTTTGTACCCGTCCCCCCTAAAAGACAGGTGAAAACGTGACGACTTTTTTGTTTCGTTTTGTTTGTTTTTGCATTTTATTTTAATAGATTTTCGGAATTGTGCGCATCCCACCCATTAAACAAACTCCTTATCCGCCCGTGATTACGTGGCATTTTATTTCATGCCATGAGATTAAGTTTAAATGTGATGAAATACCACATGCCCTATTCATACATTCGTAAAGGCTGAAAATGGAAGTCTTTATAATTTTTGTAAGAGACATACGAACAAAACTGGCAAACAAACTGCAGAAATAAGGCAAGCAGATAGTTCATTTGATTTTATTTAGTTTTTATTTTTATTTTAAGGAATACAAGTAAAATGTGACGAGACACCAACGAAGCTCATTCATAGCGCGACCGCTCCAAGCGGTACGATGGAACAAGGATTCAGCACACAATCTCTTTCGGTGGATTTCGGTGATACTTCGGGCACATTCGGCACGTCCGATCTTGATCTCTCTGCTTCGGATATGACACCTCGGGCACATAAGAAAGCAGACACTACCAAGCCGAGGGGAGCAAAAATGAAAAGGGACAAGCAGACACAATTGGCAATAAAGTGGGCGAATCTGAGCGCAGACAAACAAGTTGCAGTCGCAGGTACAAGTTGTTTTATGTTGTTGATTTTTTGTTGGGGGGGGGGGAGGTATATAGGTATGGTATGTGTGTGGTAATGGTGGTTCGATTGTTTCCATTGAATCTACATGATCTTTCGGTTCCTTGAAATTCTCTGATTATCATCATTATTTGAATAAACCCTTCTCTTTTCATAGGAAAAAATCGAAAAGAGATATGAAAATCTATTGGTAATTTGTAACGGGTTAACAATTTTGTTTAACCAGGTTTTCTTATCGCCTCAGACTATCAAGTACTACGAAAACCTCGCTGAATTATTTCATTTTCATTGTTGTTGTAAAACTATTAATTTGATGTATCTTTGACCTTTATCTCGATCAAATTTCTAAACTGAACAGTAGACAAGAGAAAAAAAAACTTTTTTATGTAAAGATTTGCTGGTAGAAATTTGAGCTAAGCCATCAACCCTTTTCTCTGAATTTTTTCTCATGCACTAATGTCATGGCAATAAATTTTTAAAAAAATCACTCATGAACATCCTTTTATTTCATTGATATTTCAAAGAATTTAAGGCTTATTACAAAGGGAGTAATTTCTTGACCCGATATCAACTTTTCAGTATTTATAAGTTAACAGGTTAGTGAAAAGAAGGAGAAAATCACACCCCCAATCCCCTTTTTTCTTGTGGTCTGATGGCATGATTTGTTATTACATTTATATGTTATATAGTGATATTTAGAAACTATCAATTTACATGTGAAACAAAGTATAAAAAAAAACAATACTTGTATCTTGAGAAGCCAATTGTATTTATGTTATATATGTAAATTACCATGAATATATATTTATTAATTTGTTTCAAATGAAAATCAATAAAATCCCTGTGAAGGGAAAAATATTGGAAAAAACACAAAAACAGAACAACAAAAAACACAAAAGCAAAAGCAAGACAAAAAACAAAAACAAACAAACAAACAAATCGAACAAATGTTGATTTCCTTTGAAGTATCATTATTATTATTATAATTATCATTATTATTATCATTAGTTTTACTATTATTATTATTGGCAATCTTACTCGACTACCAAGCTTACTCTTAGAGCGGAAAAAAATTGCGTTAAAGACGGTTTCAAAGGCAGCAGGAACAATTTACTGAATGATAACTATCATATTATCTCGCTAAATAATTCTTTTAAATTTCTATTCTCATCTTTTGCAGGGAGTATGGTTGTTCTGACCACGGTCATCTGCTGGGCTCCATACGCGCTCGTCCATGCTTGCTTCCTTGACTTCACCCCTTCCCATATGTTAGGGGTGGCCACCATGTGGCTGGGCTACACCAACGCGATGCTTGATCCTCTCATATATGCATTCTTCAATAGGCAGATTCGATCTAAGATTGTCGGTCATTTCAACGGTTGTTTCTCGTGTTTGAACTGAACCAAATTGTACATTTTTTCTTCTTCGAAAGATGGTGTGAAGAGTTTTCGTTTGTAAATATAGGTATGTTTTGTGAAGATTCATTTAATATCACTATGTTATTGTATAAATTGTATCTATTATTTTGTTGTGAAATGAAGAAAGAAAACTCAGTTGTGTCATGTTAACCAGAGGCGGCGCTCCCGGGGGGGGGGGGCAGGGGAGCTCAGTGCCCCCACACTCTTTCAAGTACTCCAAAGTGCCCCTTTTTACATATAAAAAGTGCCCCTTTAACTTTTTAAGAAGTGCCCCTTTTTACATAGGAAAAAAGCCCCTATTAATTTTTAAAAAGTGCCCCTTCCCTTTTCCACCTCTGATAAGTACCCCTTTTATTTTGACGCGTATCCCTTTTTCTTTGACAAGTTCCCTTTTTCCTTTACAATATGTATCCGTTTTCCATCCTCAAAAACTGCCCTTTTTTAATCTCTAGTAAGCCTTTTTTCACGTACGAGAAGCGCCCCTTTTCATTTTTGATAAGCGCCCCCTTCACCTCTGAAAATTGCCCCATTTAAATTTGAGAGGTTCACCTTCTGCTGTGACAAGTTCCCCTTTTCCTTTGTAAAAAGTGCTCATTCCCCTTATGATAACTACCCCTTTTTAACTCGGATAAATGCCTCACATGTGCCCCCCTTTCCTTTTTAATAAGTGCCCCCATTTAAAAAAGAACCCCTTTCCCTTCTCATAAATGCCCCTTTTCATCTATGAAAAATAGTTCCTTTTCATTCTCATAAGTGCCCCTTTTCATCTCTTGTAAGTGACCCTGTTCAATTCTTTGAGATACCCGTTTTACTTTGACAAGTGCCCCTTCCCTCCTGATAAGTGCTCTTTTCATTTTGGAGGAGATGAATTCCATCTAATTATGAAATGTGACAAGTATAAAGATTTACGAGTAGATTTTATAGAAAAAAATTAAAAATCTGAATTTTTTTTTTAGTAATTTGAAAAGTCAAGAAAAAAAATCATATTTATAATGAGATAAGACAATAAATATGTAATAGATATTTTCTCTTCGTTCACCAAAATCATAATTGCAATGAGGGGTAATTTTTAGAGACTATGTAATAACAAAGTAGAAATGTACAATCTTATGCTTTTGGTTTAATTCTGCAGTAGGTCGCAGATATGTATAACTATTATTACGTCATTCATTTTAAGCATTCCATGTACCCCATTTACCTATTTTTAATGGCATGAGTTATAATTTATTTAGAAAAGTGCTGTGTTATGTTTTATATATCTAAATCGTCGGATGTATTATGGTACATTATATTACTATATGCATTATGTCATGTTATTACAGAAGGAAAAAAAAAGATTTTTCTGCTGGATATAATTTTACTTCTGTTTTGCTATAAACACGTTGTAAATTGATTTATATGATATATTTGTTTCCAAAGAGAATATTGATTTGTTACATTACACTGTAAATTGATTTATATGTTTATAAACAGAATATCAATGTACATCAATGTAGTTTAATAAATACAATACAATACAATACATCTCTTATAAGTGCCCCCCCTCCCCTTCTCATTATTACCCTTTTTCATTTTTGATAAGTGAGATAATGAGAAGTTGGACTATATATACTAACATTAGACAGAAATAACCGTCTGGTATAAAACTAACAATTTATTGTCGACCTTCCCCATACACAGACGGTACCCCTTACGGCTTTAAATTCTTATTGCATTGACGACTTTCGTCAATGCCTTGTTTTCGTTCGTGTTCTGAATTCATCTTCTTCTTTCCTAAAATCCTATTCAGTGTAGTGCTTGTAAGATTTAACCCCTATCTAGGTCCCTTTCTCCAGCCCGATCCCTTTCAAGTTTCGTAGGAGTAATCTGCTACACCCAATGAAAGTCACCCGAATCTTCTTTTTCCAAAATGCGTGACCGTCCATGCGCCAATTTGTCCGTTTCTGGTCTGTTTTAAGGCCTTACTTTCTTCCTTCGTATCTCCACTAAGTACCTAGATCCAACAGACTTCTAACAAATTCCTCTAGGTAGTCCAATAGATGTTCTTTCATCTGCGACGTACACCTTCACTTAAGCATGCTATCTTCATACTGGAAATTCAATTCCGAAATCGACTCCGTTTAAAAGATGACGACCGTAAATTTCCATTACTTTGTCATACAAATTTCTTTTTGTGTCAATTTTTCACAATATCTTGATCTGTCCATTGCACACACCCCAATTAGATTTCACGCTGCAGTGGCCACGCATGTTAATAATAATAATAATAATATTTAATTTTTATGTTATAAATAGCGTCCTCTAAATTTCTAAAATTTCTTCATGTGACCGTAGCTACATGACCTGATAAACGACTCGAAACACGACCATTTCAAATTAATGTTTGGTGAGTAAATCTATAAAATACGGAAGTTGGATACTCCACTAAATATGTTTGGTGAGTAAATCTATACAGAAGTTTTTTTTAAAAATATTTTTGTTTGTTTGATTGTTTTAGTAGTCAAAACTAAGTAATATCAAAATATTTAGAGCTCATCAATAATGATTGGTACTCTACAAAAAGATATAACAACAAAAAAGTGACAAGAAATACAAGATATATGTAGAAAGAAAGAAACAAAAAAAGAATATTGTTTATTATAATGGGGAGTCCCCCTAGCTGCCAAGACCAAATTCGTTCTGTCCAGGGCCACCGAAGCCTGGACACTCTCCACGGAAAACCACACGATCTGCACGAGTTCCATACTTAAATACTACATGATCAGACCATCACTAAATATTGCCTGTATTAAACATAATCATGCAGCTACATGCAGCTGCATGTAGCTTCATGATCATAACCTCTTCCTCACTATCTGATCATTCCTCTTCACATCCCCAATATTCCAGCTACAGCCCAGTACATCAATCTCTCATTTCGCTTATATTATTCCCCGGCCCCCCCCCCCCCCCCCCCCACTCCGAGAACGGACGGACCCCATGCGTGTTGCCAAAATGTCCTTTTCGTAACAAAAGAAAAAGGTCGACCTGTATTGACTTTACACACCGGACTTTTGCTGAAAAGGGGGGAGGGGTGCTGAAAAAGGCTCGTATACAAAAGAAAAAGGTCGAGCCGTATTGACTTTACACACCGGACTTTTGCTGAAAAGGGGGGGGGGGGGTCGGTTGGAACACGCATATGCGTACCCTAAATAACACTGAGTGGGGGGGGGGGCCGGGTATTATTCACATTCATGTCCAAACAAAAATTCAATTGTGGAGTGCGTCCCGACCCCACCGACCCCATAATGTATGTGCACTGAACTAAATCAGCCACTTCGTATCCATTCCAGGCCAAGACACGGTAAAATAAACAAAGAGACCCACAATGGCTCCGTACAGCAAATATTATGATACACAATACACTGTATACTAAAAAAAAGCATTACTTAGGCATAACTTCCATGATATACAAAAAAATACGTTTACGGGAAAACAGACTCATTAAAAGTCTTCCTCTTATTAGAAATTGAACCTCCATTTTCTAAAATGCACATAAAGTATATATTTTTTTTTTAGCCAAATAATATTCTATTTCCTTTTGTTTTTTAACAAACGATTTGAAAGCAATAACATTTGGTAACTGATCTCTAAATTTGTAAATATAAATACAATATTTCACCAGGAAAAAAAAAAGGTTACAAATTTGTACACCAACAACAATTTCAAAATTGGTAAAAGTAAAATTTGGATCATAACTTTGTAATAATAAATTTAATAAAACTTCCCAAAGTTTCTTTCTCTTTGTCACATTAATTTTACATCCAATCTATACGGAAGTTGGAATTTGATCCCCACCAAGTATGTTTGTTGAGTAAATCTATATACGAAAGATGGAATTCCCCACCAAGTATGTTTGGTGAGTAAATCTATACAGAGGTTGGAATTCCCCACCAAGTATGTTTGGTGAGTAAATCTATACAGAGGTTGGAATTCCCCACCAAGTATGTTTGGTGAGTAAAACTATACAGAAGTTGGAATTCCTCACCAAGTATGTTTGGTGAGTAAATCTATTTTTCCCCTTTTCCAGCATTACTCCTCAGGAATCATCGTACCTCGTGAAGACGTGGTAAGTGTTTTTTTTTGTTCTTCTAAATATTTCAGTTTTATAAAAATGCTTTATCGTGGATCAAGACGTGGTTGTTCAACCTAATCTTTTCTTTACCCAACACTAAATTCGAATTCGGGAATTAGGTTTTCCTTTGGACAAATCGCAATGTAATTAATTTCTTTGCCAAATCATTCTATATTTCTCGGAGGGCGTTTATTTACTTTTTTGTTTACAAAAGGGGGAAAGAAAGAAAGACATTATCCCAATGTTTTCCGCTGCAAAGATTAAATCCTTTGGAGACAGAGATGGGAATAGAGGTCCGATTTCTCCATATATCGTCATCTTCAGGGGAAACTGTGAACAGTTGCCCGTCTTTGTGAAGAACACCATGCTATTTGAAAATGACTTACACAGTCATGTCATAATTATGTGTGGGTAAAAAGTGATCTTAAATTTTGTTTACAAACACTCATGACACTTGCAAAATTACAACTTGATAACAAAGTTGTATCGTCAACTGACAAATAGTGGGGTAGTGTTGCATGCAACCAAGAGGATTTGAAGCACCTTGTTGCTGTTCTTGCGTTTGTTAACATTTAATTTCTGACTTTGTTTATTGGGAGGGGAGAGCAAATGTATATAACTATAGACACGTTATTTATGCTAGACATTAGGTTGATTTGGTGTTTTTGTGCATTTCTTGAATAGGATATAGAACGTAACCGGGTACGAAGTTGATTTGCCAAACACAAGATGGAATACATCGGCAATACACAGCTATGCGGCGCGGAAATTTTGAAAATATTCGTCGAGAACGGACTTCACACCGTAGCAAATATGAGAGTCAACTGGTCAAAAGACGTTGTTTGTGTCTGTCTTGTGACCTTCTTGAATTGGACAAATGCACTTTTTATCGGACAGAGCACAGGCTCCTACCATGCCGAATATGGCGTCATAAATTACCTTAGAGACAACATCCTAAGGATACGTTTCGTCAAGATGTTCTGCAGCTTCTCACCGTGCAGTAAAGAAGGGTACGACTGCTGCAACTTGATTGGCAAGATCAAGGAAGATCTGGAGACCCAGCAGAGGAATAGGGGTGACGCTGATGGTGTGAGGTCACTCACTTTTGTTTTTT